GTTAGTCAATTAGATGTGTTCTATACAATCATATGTAACCTACTTTCTAGATTAGAGCGAGAGCAGGGAACCCTAGTTCTTTATCTATTGCACAGGAATAGAAGGGTGAAGGTAAATCTTAGAATCTGCAAGAATCTTCTTGTGAATATATATGAAATAACTGCTTAAGTCTAGAAGTCCATGCAAAGAGAAATAATCCACCACAGAAACCACCAACTGAAGTTCTTTGAAATATCACAGTCTACACATGCGGAAGAAAGACACTCCAGAAACATGAAGGCAAATAAGATGGGTGAGGAATTACACAGCGTGAAAAATGGGCATGACATTGCAGCATCTGCCCAGATGAGAGAGTAAGAGTTAACATAGCAGAAACCAATTAATCAATTAGGCTGACCAGTAGGCTGAGATCCACAATGTCTCCCTCATCCTGTGACAGAATCTCAACATTTCAACCACAGGATATTCATAGCTGTGGGAGAAACAGATGGTCTCTTTAAAGCTAAATATTTTTACTGTCAACCTTCTGAAAACTTAGGGCTCTTTACACAGTTTAGATTAGACAATTAAAATGCCTGCAAAGATCATTTTAGCACATTTACTCACACAGAGGATGCTGCTGTAAGTAACACTTTCTCCAAGATATTCTCAACTCTTCCACAAAAGAGCAAGTAATCTTCTTTGTTATCACCAGCTACCTTATAAACTCAAGAAGAGCTTTTTAGATACCCATGTTAGGAGCCTTTACCTTCTCAGGAAAGTTTAATCTTATATTGGCTGAATATAAGACGTGAGCACATCAGCTGACAAGGAACAGTCATATTCTCTTGTGAGTGAAAGCCGATTGTTCTGTTCCAAAAGTCAGGGAATGAGTATGAGTTGCCAAGAAAAGCCAACTGTGATCTTGAGATCACTCAGGAGAAGCACTTCCACCGAAGAAAGAGCACTGCTGTACCAGGCACTACAATGAGCTACATCTGCAGTGCTGCATACAATTGTAACCACTCACGTTCAAGAAAAGATAAGCCAATGATGGGAACGAATGAAGAGCTCAACCTCTAACAGAAGTCTAGAAGAAAACTTTTTAATTTAGTCTAACAAAACAAGAAAGTTAAGAAAGGACGTATGACCACTGTCTCTAGATGTTTCAGGAGAGAAATGATCTATTTAAATTAGAAGTTAATGCTGACACAAGGGAAAAAAAAAAAGGTACACAGAGCCATTTGTTATCTTTGAAAACTCCTGAAAGGCACACAATGTTCTAGAACACTGAAAGAGGAATGACTAGAGCCCACTACAGACTAGGTAGTTTTCACTCTAGTATTTTTCCAGAAATTGCAATTATGTTTTAGGTGCTTACAAACAGCCTACCAGCACAACAATCAAAACAGATCTGTTACCAACAAGTTGTGCCAAGCCAACCAAATCTCCTTCTATGAGAGGGTAACAGTCCCCTGGGGAAAGCAGAAGTGGCCAATATCACAACTCACCTAACCTTCATGTAAATAAACTAGAAAGAATAGACTTCATAGTTCAGAAAAATGCATGTATTGTAATTCATAAAATTACCCCTTAGTAATCCACAGTACTAGTCAATATTTTTATTCAGCAGTCTACCCTGTCCAATTGTTGAAGATACCAGATCTGTAGGCAAGCCTGCTTGAAGGGACTACAAAGGATTTTGAAAGACAGGATTGGAGATAAAAAGTTATTTATATAAATTATCAAAGTGGTGCATAATAACAGAATGGAAAACACCGATTAAGCAACTGTATGACCTTTTGAAATACTAAGGTAATTTGATACAAACTAAAAAAACCTCCTACTAGGAGGCAGAAATTGTATTGAACTGGCTGTATTGTTACAACAAATCCCGATCAACATCATACAGATGCAAAACACCTAGCATCACATCGAGATGTCTAAACAGAAGCACAATACGTAACACAGATCAAGTAACCCCTACTTAGGGCAGTCAAAGCCTCGTCTGATGTCCTGCATTCATTTCTGAGCACCAAAAGAAACAGGTCATCTGACTAGAGTGTCTGAAGGACAACAGTAAGAATTATCAGAGCCATAAAAACACTGTCCTGTGAGGAAAGGCCCACAGAAGTGTATTTTTGTAGCCCAGACAAAAGTCACGGGCAAAAGGGTAATAGCTTTCAAATATGCAGAAGACTGCTGCAAAGACAAAAGGGCTACAGTGATCTCTCTCTCTCTATTCGAACAAGACAAATAATACTGGGATTAAGAAATACTGACTGTACAAGAGAAAAAATAACTAAGAAATTAAGTATTACAATAGGCTTCCTGGAGAGATGACATTACATCTTTTATTTCAGAGCTTGTTCGCTTTTTAATCACTAACCAGGAACTCCCTAACTGATTCTGCCTTAGATGAAGAGCATGGATGAAATAATCCCTAAAAATTATTTCTAGTCCTATTTCTATAAAAAGTTAATTTGACATTGTGGTCAGTAATAGCACGAGGCTGCACTTGACGAAGCAGGGGACACCTTTCAGTGTTTAACTTCATTCCGGATTAGGAAAGAATTAATTAAATATTTTCACAGTGTAGCTAATATCATATTATGCAAATAATATATAATACAAATAATTATTTTATTGTTATCTTTATAATAAATAAATTTAATAAAGATAAATTACAGAATTTATCATGCTAAACCAAAAAAACCCACAAAACAAAACAAAATACTGACTTGCCATTAAGTCAATTTCTAACCATTTTTGAGCTTTGGGAGCATGGAATGTCATATAAAACCCTTCCCAATTAAAATAAAAATAAAAATCCTTACTTCCCCTCTCCAGGGACAGTTTCAGTTCAAATACCCACACTCCAACAACTGCTCTGGTTCTCTTACTAGCAATATCATCGTTGTGACTAGCATCAAATATTTTTCTTTTCCAGTTCAGAATGTCTGGGCCTTACACTCTCCTCTAAGCATCAGAAACCGTGGGTTTGGCATCACCATTATATTTTACATGATTTCACAAGTCTGGGATCAGAGGTAGAATATCTATCAATAATTCAGTAGTGCAATTACTTCTGGAAGGAAAGCTCCTGAATGTGTGATGGGAATGCCAATAACAGAAAGAAACAGTTAAATAATCAAAGCAGTAAATTTCTAATACCGTGTGGAACGCCCAGGTGTTTCACAACACTGAGTTTTGCATAGGTACCAAGTATTCTGACAGGTTTCTTTTATTTTCATCTAAACTAGTGCAATCACTTATCAGCAAATATCTCATACAACGCAGTCACAGGCACACAGACAGAATGAATCCACATGATCAGCTGTGTTGGATCACAATAAAATACTAAATAATTAATGAGATAATAACTTCAAGCTGTCATAAGAAGTAACTCATTTAAACTTGAACTCCTGACAGACTTAAATAGTTTGAGTGGAAACTTCAGTCCAAATGCAATAAACTGCATTTCCTTCAAGCAACAGTTAAGTGTCAATAAAGGAAGGAATTCTAAAGTAAAAAATAAATTAGCACTTTCTGAATATGACCAAGACTCAAATGTTATTTATATCCCAGCAGTAAAACGTCACTCGAAGAATCACGTTACAGCAGGCTTAATAAAAGCCTTGGAGTTGTGAAGTTGCAGTAGTTTAGGTCTTTTTTAAAGACTGCACGTTTTGGCACTGTCATCTGTCAAGCTCTGGCACTTTACTTTAAAAGATAACACGCAGTTAAACCAATGTGGGCCAAATAAAATACTAAAAATATGCAGAACGGCCTGTAACAACAAGTCCAATACCTGATTTCTTGGCTGTACTTTGCACTCCTCCAGCACCAGGACTCCCAGGAGAGCCAGTCTTTTTGCTCAAGAGACTGTTAAAAAAACTAGCCAAGACACCTTCACTTGCAGCATTATCTAAATAAAAAACAAATATATATATATATATATATCACAGAAGAGTTATTGCTGGTAAATGATAGAAGTTATTTTTCATATACATACATAACTCTCCTACCAATCAAGGAAATAAACGTCAAATATGAGAGTCTCTCTTTCCTCAATTTAAAGACACTAGTCCTTTACATTCTTTAGCAAAATCAGAGATGACTGAAAGCACATTACTGCTGTCCTGGAATGGGGTGGTCACAAAATTTTAATCTAAATATTTGTATGCTTTTGGTTTTTTGTAAGTGTAGAAGCCAAGAAACAAAAGTATTAAGGATGGATGTGCAATTCAGAGATTTCCAAGTCCATTAACAAACCACACAGACGTTTTAGTGCAGTCTTTCATGCCATTCTACTTTTCATAAATCAGAACTTGGATATACAGCAACGAGACAAGATCCAGAACCGCATGAATGTTTTCTCCACTGTAAGTGAGGTGTGGCACCGCAGTGCATAATTAAAAACCCTACCAACTTTCTGAATGCACAGAGAGGAAAGAAACCACTCAACAACGTGGAGTTCCATCTTAGGGCTGAGGGAGGGGAATGGGTGTACCTTCCAAGCTACTTCATGTACTATAGAAAATTACATTCTAGAGAGGGCTTATAACAGGTTGCATTGTGGATTCCAGAGGAAGTGATGATACGAGGTATAAAACTGTGTGTATTTTAAAGAAGTCCCCATGCAAATAATCCACCTGATGCATAATAAATTCATTTAGGCAACTTAAGAAATAATGTTTTTGAACTCTGACTGCTTGGCAATAACAGATCTCTACTTCAAGTCATATGAATGACAAAAAGAAAATCAAACCTGAAGCTATGTCATAAATTCATTCTTGTTCTTAAACTAACTACACCATTAGTTAATAAATTCCAAAATTTTTCTACAAAAGAGGATTTTTTTTTTAAAGTGTAATAACACATGATAAAAAACAGTAAAATGCTTATTCATACTTTTAATATTTGGATCTGGTTTCTTAACTGATGTGATTGGTGAGGCACTGGGTACATTGGCGGGACCAGCTCTGCCTTGAGTTCTTGGGGAACCTGCAGGGCCTCTTGCAGGAGATTCCTTTAAAAAAAATCCAAATCACACAAATCAGGGAAGAAATTAAATGGATTAGTTATATAAATCAAATGTAACATTACATACAAATTACTTTTTAAACCTTTATATTAGCACTGTAGTGTACACACACTGGTGAAAAAACACCCCAAACAAAGCAGCACCAGTTATTTTGGGCATGTGCCTCCACTAAAAGAAAAAATGAATCTTCAGTTCAATAACCATCAAATATTTCTATGTTTCCACAGTGAATTAGAATGAAGTAATTTGTAAGCAACATTTTAAAATATTGCCTTTTTTTTTTTTTTTTTTAATTTACTTCCTGCAGTTAGGGCAGACCATGTGTTTTACATTTATATTTACAAATGAACCTCTTCAGCTTCCCTAGAAGGAAACAAAACACCTCCTACTCTTCTCTTGGACCTACTTACTGATGCTCTTGTAGGCGTTGCTGGCTGTTTGGCAAGGAATGACTGCAAAAACAACATATGAAGAATATTAAATATATTTCAGCAAATATAAAGGAATAAAAGACAGTGAAGCTGACTAACCATTAATTTGTTTGATTTTTTTTCCTGATATTTACAGGCTTCCTCTTTGATATTTATATACTTCCAGCCTTTACCACTAGAGGACAGAGTTAAAATGAGTAAATAAGCTTCAGTCCTTTTGTCTTACATAGCCGTTCCAGAACTATAAGCCAGAACCATAGACGAGTACTCAAGTCTGTAACCTATACGATATTTATAGTCAATTCTACAGGAAAGTATTATTAGGTTTTTTAAATAATAGAGCAGTAAAGAAAATAACAAGATACAGCATAGCTAAATTTGACACCTTGAAGCCTTTCAAGCCTCTGGCTGTAAGAAAACAGCAATGCTAAGATGTTGTTTTAAAAGTATTTATATTTTGCAGATTAATACATCTATGTTGTACAATTTTAAATTATCTTCTTGCTCTTCTCCTTTGAAACGTAAATTATTTCCATGCTCAGCATCTTTCCCTTTCAGGTCACCAAGATAAGTGCCCGTATATTCTACTCGTATTTGCTAAATTAAGAAAAAGTCTTGTTTCATAATTACATCTGAATTTGCAAAGCTGAAAAGTGGCTATCTAGTGATTTAAATGAGGAATGAAAAACTGAAGGCATTAACAATGGAGAGCTTAAAGTGAAATCTTATTTAAGGACTTATTTTCATTCTTCCATTCTTACCTGCTGCTTCATCAGAAATACTTGTTCATCTTCTGCTGCCAGCTCTTTATCATGCACTAACTGTTGAACAAAATATTTCATTATTAGAAGTAAAAACTGCAATTACTGTAACTGTTTTTGTGTTGTTGATCAAAAGAAGAGGCAAATCTTTAATACTATTCTTTTCTTTTTTTAAAAAAAAAACATGCTTCTTTCACGTTTAAAAGAGTAGTAACATCAAAAAAGTTGTCATTAAAAAAAATTGTAAGTGAATGGAGTAGACTAGCATTGATGCCAGCCCATGAGCATTCTCCTAGAAAGATGAGTACTTGGCAAGTAGCCATATTCATCTTTTTAAGTTTAGCTATTAATCTCATCAGCATCTCTTCAAAGACCTGAGACTACCTTACTCCGTAAGACACCACAGGCAATCCCTCAGCCCCCAAAAGCACTACACTAGCTCTTATCAGTCATAACACTGCTATTAGGCAATGACTATTTCCTATAGGTGCCAGGATTAAACCCTTCCCTTACATGAAAGCTTCAAACAGCTCTTCCCTTTTTCAAATACTTTCCAAATACACATTAAGTGAGAAAGTTGTAAAAGCAGCTTTCCAACACAGACCAGAATTCAATTCCATTTTACAATTTTCCATATTATCCATTTTACACATATACTATTTCCTTTGTGCCTATACTCACAAAATCAGCAATATACAGAATTTATATGGATTATTTACTGTTCTTGCCTTACATGAAGAAATCTGTCATTAACTGTATGCAATGCAATAGTGATATACTGCCTTGTTTTACAAGATTCGCCTTTACATGGTAACCTCAATGCCATGTGTGTATATATGCAAATTGTTGAAGTCCTACAACAATATTCTCTATTTTTGAAAAGCATTTTTGCCCCACACATGCAAAAAGGTTCATGTGAAATGGTTACTTTTGGACTGCCCTTCATTCACCAAGGTGAATGATTTCTGTGTTTGCTTGCACTATTTTAAACAACTGGAAAATGAAAGCCTGATGTTTCACACATTTGGATACAAAAAAAAATTTTATTTAGATTTGGAGTTCCTCAATATCAATAGTTAGCAGTCATTCAAGCAAACTGCACTTATTTGTGGTGGGGCAGGGAAGAGTTTACCCCTTTTTACCTTTCTTACAGGAGGTTTTACAATGAAGTCCTCATATGCATCTTCTGGTTTCACTGTTGTGAAGTTTTCATGTAAAATGGCAATTTTCTTTTCATTGTCCCAACCGGCAGGTCTATAAAAAGAAGGAAAGCTTTGCCTTCTCAGTCACAAAAAGCACTTCTACATAGACCATTTATCTACTGTCTTCTACCCGAATAAGGCAATTTTACTATAGGTCAGTCCTAATTCTCAGCTAAATTCCAAAGATACTAAAAGCTTGGAATGGTATGCTCTCAGTCAAGTAACCCAAGCAACATACACTAAGCTGTTTTTTTAATTCAGGATTTCAAAAGACTCACATACTAAACTTTTGAATGACACAAACCATTAAAGTTATTTTTATATATATATATGTTATATTAAGTGTAGTGCTTAACAGAAAACAATTTGAAACCATGCTGCTTATACAACTAACTTACATAAAAACTGCATCCTTTTCTACCACTAAGGCAGGTGTGGTAAACTGAAAACCATATGTTTTATGTACAATGTACTTATACAACAGATCAAGGTTCTTTTCCTCCTTAACTGATGTATAAATCAAGGCAGCCCCATCTGATTATTTATTTAAGGAAAATTATCTAAGACATAGTTGTTAAAATTATAGTAAGAATTTCAAAACAGGAGCTCCTAATGGATATACACTTACTAGACCTAATTTTGAGAAGTAGTTCAAGGCAAAAGCTACAGCCATTTAGTATTCAGGGAAAGGAGGGGGGTGTAACAGGAGAAGACTCATGATACTTTTCTTTGACATACACAAAAGTTACCTACCCTCCCAGGCACTTAACTTTGAAAAAGTCAAAAACTTAAGACAGCTGAGATCTCAGGTTGACATGGAAATTACAAGTTCTGAGGGGAAAACCAAGAAAAACCACCCCACAAAATGCAAGACAAATCCTGTGAAAGCGAACAAAAGCTCCAAATCTGATGTGCAATTTAAAAACTGTAAGAAGTTTTTATACATCTCTCAACATTTTCAAAACAACAAATGCTACACAGTAAATAACTAAATACCAAGCAATCTTGAAGTGAAATTTCTCAGATTAACTTTGTGTGCAATTCAACACAAAAAAGTTATTTTCTTGCTTCCAGATTACAGCAAATCCCTTCAGCGCAGGAAAGGATACACTGTAAGCAGAATCTACGAATGTGTGACTGAATGAAGTCGAAGTGTTCTTCTCTGTAATCATGCTCCTTCTCTAGTACACTCACGGCATCGCACTGGAATAAAGGGAGAAAAACAAAAAACCAGGCATTTAATCCCAGCACATCCTAAAATATCTTCCTCAATATTACACATACACCAAATTTACTTTGAGCCTTTGGTTTTAAAATGCCACCAATAAATCAAATGATAAAAGTAATTAACATACGATTGAGAAGGTTACTACCCTTCTGCAAAATTAAAAATTGACACTGATGGCAGAAGCTTACTTTTAAAATAATTCCCTTCACTATTAATCAGAATTCATTATGCACATCTGTATAAAGCATGCCTTCTAAAAGAAAAGTAACTAAACTTTTCCATAGTAGCAAACAGAACCAGAAACTCACTTTTGTACAAACTACCAGCACAGGAATACCAAGGTTGTGAGTCAGCACATTTTCTCCAAGTGGCAAAGAAACATGTTCATCCTCTTGGCCAGAAGAAGGGCCTCTTCTCTGCGGTGATCCTTGGTAGCCTTCTTCAGGTTCTACATACTCTTGAAACTCCTTTATAACTATTAAGAGAGAGATCTTCTTAAGGTATAACAAAGGAACTAGTTATTCTTTTTAAACCATAATTAATCTATAACTAACTAGAAATCTCAATTTTCTTTTTCCTTTTATAATGAGGCACTATACGAGAACAAAACACAAGCTTAAGCCTTGTTGCCCCTTCAGACACAACAATCCTCCTCCACCAAAATATATGGCAAGCTCAATCAAGTGCAATTTGGAGTCATTACAAATAATCAAAACTAGCTGCAAGAGCTATAGTATGCACAAATGCACATTCCTCAACTCGATGCATTTCATTATAGGGGAGCTGAAAACAGAAAACATAAATGTACTTTAGCAACATGGCCTATATTCAGGGCAATTTGTACCTAGTTTTGGAAGAAAGCATGGCAAAAATGTAAATGGACATAGAAACACCAAGCTGAAACGGCCACTCTTCCTTATAAACTGTTACTCAATTTAAGTTTCTATTGCTCTCCATTTCTGTTGCACGAGTCCAATGCTAGAAATATAAAAAAAAAAAACCCTGCAGAAATACAGACTCAAGGACTTCTAAATGTTATCTGAAGAGACCCAGTTATATTCTGGAAAACTACAATGGAGTCCAGAGGACACTAGATGCTTTCTGTGTTTTCAATGCTTCAATTTTATGGCAATGAAGAGTGTTCCAATAATACTGAATACAATCAACTACTGAAGTGCCTAAGAAATAGTATTAACACCATTTTGGAAGCGCACTGTGACCCCAAGCACGCTTTATCAAAACTGGGCTGAAACTTAACAGCTTTTATGTCTTTTTTCAGGATGAAAGCCACACAGCAGATAAGTCTGCCTGCTGGATGCATCTGTTCCCAGGCACAGCACTTCCCGAAGGCCCAGGGCTCTCCCTCACATGTCAATCCCACCTGAAGCCTCCTCCTCGCTCAGCCACGAGGAGCCTCCAGGAAAGAGGCAAGCAAAGCTCCGTGATTTACTCTTATGAAGGTGTCTTTTATTTTAGAAACAGTGGGAGCAGGCTGACTGTACACACAGTAAGGAAAGCTCTTCAAAAAAGCTCCCAATCTCCAGCACAGTCACAAAGAGAGTGTTGTTCAGTACATCCATCCATGTGACAGGGAAGGAACCGCAACTGTACTGCAGGTCATCTGATACTTCTGAGGTTTAGGAAGTGGTAAAACCTCAGAAAAGTTTATAATACAAACCTTGCAAAATGAAGTCAATGGACCTTCTCAAAAATAGGAACCATTCCTGTAATGGAATGGGCATGTGGAAGGAAGAACAAATCAGAAAAACACTTCTGTTCAAAGCTGCACAATCTACAATTTTTATTTGAATTATAAATTGATGCATTCTTGTGGAAAACAAGAGAAAAGCTTAGAAAAATCTACATTAAATACAGATAAGACTTCCAATCACCTATTCAATATATGCCAAGGTCCAGGAAAATAAAAAAAAATTTGAACACAGCTGCTTTTAAACTTGGGGAGACAGTGCCTTCTGGTGGAGAGGAAACAACAATGCTTTCAAAGAGCTGCTTTCCTCAAGCACTGTTCATATTCAGCAACTGGAAATCAAAATTCCATCATAGATTCTGCACATTAAATATGTTTACTGTCTATGTCACAGAAAGCAAATTAATTCCAGAGCATTTAACTAGAAGAGGGTTTTTAAAAAGTATTTATTTAATTACTCAGACTCTTACTAGCTCAGAATAGAAAAAAACCCTATTGAAGACAAGTGTATTACAGCAGTTAAAAGAATACCATTTATATCCACTACAATCATTCAGATAAGCCTCTCTGACTTAATCAGATGTAAAAGAATATTTGACAATACTGCTTTCAATTTACTACAGCATTATAATCAGACAATACTAGTTTCCTACGTTTCGTTCATATCAAAGCAGAAAAATCTTTTCTTTACTGACATATCTATTAGTATAAAGCCCCTAAAAAAAGGAAAGAAAAAACTCTTGAAAACATTAAAACTCCGACAACACAATACAAATCATTATTCTAGATATCCCAAGAATTTTACTAATATAAAGAATAGCAAATGCAACACAGAAACTTCAGAAATCTGATGGCACATCCTCATGAATTTCTGCTGAATGGGAATGAAGACCACAATCTAGAGAGCTGAGATTCCCAACTCCTCCCTCTCCCTAGGAGTAAGCAGCACCAAACGCACTGCATCCCAGACCAGTGATCAACAAGGCCGTATCTCACTCTGGTTGATCCACGCACGGAGAGAGGAAAAAATCTTCCCTGTGGAGATGAACTGTTGTTGCAGACTGTTAATAATGCACATGGTCTGGCATCAATCCCTGACCAGAGACTGTGAAATGCTACAAAAACACTCAGCTTCAGTTAACATAAGCATCTGCTGAACAAGTAACTACTAGGGTTAGAAGAAGGTAAAAGCTATACTAAGAACTTCTAACTACCCTATCCTGAACACAGATACATTTGCTTCTGAATTAAAGTGGTTTAAGTGCCTGTTAGTGATAGGCTTTTAAACACTTTTCAAACACTCTCATTCAACCCCCATTCCCATTCAAAATTTACTCGTTAAATCCAAGTAAACTTGTATCACAGGTGCTCTCAGACTACCTCTTATGAACAAACTGCATTCTAAGCAGCTAATAAAGCAGCTCAATTCAGTTAAAGTTTCTTTGTCACACAGCAATATAATACTTTTTCCTTACCTCTCATATCTATTTCTTACTTGATCTCCACTCTCAAACTTTTAATGGACAAAGTTCATCATGTGCCCAAATACCAGAGAGCCTGAAACGGATTCAGCTTAAATGGGACACTTAATTTTCAGAAAAATATGTTATTGTGTTTCAAGTCTTTAGCTTCAAATGCTCCAGAGGACATTAATATAATAGCCATTTTACCAGTATACTTCCTTTCTGCATTTCTTGATTCTTGACAATCTTCTTTTCTGCTTTGCTGTCATAAACAGGGAGGCAAAATTTAGATCTTCCCTGAAATAATTATTCAAATGTGTATTATTTAAACAATGATTTATCATAATTGAGCCTGAATTAAAATAGAACATTTGAACTGACATTACTTATCTGAATCCACACTAGCCAAGCTTTTAGCAAGGAATTTCTAGAGCAGCTCAGTGATAGGAGTACAGACAAACAATGGTCTTGATATACTCTGAATAATTCAATTTCTTTCAAAGCAGCCTGTTGCTTCCATATGTGTGTCCTGCCTCCCATTCTGGAAGCTCTTGAACACAAAAGGAAAGCTTCTCCTATACCAGATGGAGCCTAGCATCATCCACCCAGTAAAGCCAAGACTCAGTATCTCAAACAGCAAACACAAGACAAAAGGCTGGGTGGAGAAAGGCCATGGAAACCTTGAAAGCAAAGACAAGCATTCCAAAGTTCAATTCCATTGAGAATGGTGAGCTAACAAAAGGATTTCTGGAAGCTGGTAATAAGATCTTAGTCATGGAGAAAGAATCACCTAGCAGCACTTTAAATGGGTGCTAATGGGGTAATACTAGAAAACGTTTCCCCAGGGTCAACGGTAAGTACTGGTTACTGGTACTGAGTGTAACAGCCAGGCAAAGCACTGTGGACGTTCAGCCTGGCCCACACGCCCCAGCTAGTATCTAGAAGCAAGTGTAAGGGAATACGGTTCTGCAAGCTGAAGTCAAGACACATATATACCCACGTGGTGTTATGCTGCAGCGGGGCTTTACTGGAATGAATTTAGCACGTCTCTTCTCTCTGCACCCTGTTCCTACGTTTCAACTGCCTGCTTTGCAGACGGCTTTATCATCCCCGTTTTGTTCATCTCCAGCCTCTTGCAACACAGTGATTCTCCATTTTCTAAGCGGCAGCTTATCTCGGGAAGCATTTGCAGTGGGATTTTAGTACGGAAAACTTTGCTGGTGTAGCTTTATTAATGGACTGTAGTCACAAGGCATTATTCAGACTCTATATTGTCTAAGCAGTTACACTAATACAGCCACAGGTGTAACAGGAGTTTCTTTTAGCACAATTTGCTGTTAAGCTACGGTGGCCAAAGTTTTGAGCATGGACCTGGTCTTAAGGACAGTCTGCAGGAAGTCAGAAGACAAGTACCTGAGATGACACAAGTGTTCTACACAGTGACTGAGAAAAGGAGTGAGATGGAAGTTGGGAGTGGAGACATGAAGGCCCCTGTTTCACCTGCATGCTGACACTGGCCCGAGGTTCACCGCTCAGCCATAGGATGGCAGCAGAGTCCTGCAAGCGTGTGAATTAGCAGCTCACAAATTTTCCTTTCCCCTCGATTCTATTAAAGTGCAAGAAGAAACTACGAATTTCTGTGGTACTTTAACTTAGAAATCCCTAAGACAATACTACGGGAATGTCTTCTAAGTTCCCCAAACACGGTGCTAAAGCTTTGCCATAGCTGTAACTGGCGCCTCCACACAGTACACTCTTAGTGAAGGCTGAAAACACTTCTCTCTTCAAAAATAGAATTTAAGTGCACAAACTCCGTATTTATTTGGATAATAAATATATAATAATATTAATAAAAAATAAAATTTGGTGTGTCTCAGAAAAGTGAAAATCAGATTTGCTGCTGTATTTTGAGACTAGAACTGCCTTTCCATCTCTCATTCCCCCCAAAATCTTTCACACATACCCACAAAAAAGCATTTTCCCTTAAAAAAAAAGTAAAATTGACAATTTTTAATATAACCTGAGGATTAAACCCAGATGGTTTCAGTCACTAAATTTAAACTCTAGCTAGTCTGCTATAGGCACAAGCCTTTTGTAAAAGTAGTATTTAGTATTCATAAAGGAAATCAGCTATACAAATATATCTGAATGCTCCCAGGCCAAAGAGATTACTCTCTTCCCTAAAGTGAATCTAAGGAAGCTACCAGACAGTACTTGCATGGTTTAAACACTCCAGTACAGCAGCAACAACAAGCAGAACAAAAGCAGCAACCAAGAACGATCAGTCTGAATCTATATTTCAGCTGAAAAGGAATGCATGTTGCTAAGGTCTTTTCCACAGAAGGAATTTATTTTGGAGTAATTCAATATGAAAGCAGAAAAAACTCCCAAGAAACATTCAAAACTAGGAAAGAAGCGAAGCTGCAAGAAACAACAGTGCAGAGATGAGTGCTTGGCAGTGCCAGATTCTTTCCTGCCACAGACATGCCAGGAAAGACAGTTAATTTATACAACGTTCCTAAAGTCACAGGGCAGGAATGGCTTTAGTGACAGACGATTAGATGTACCAGGATCACAGTCTGAGCCTCACGGAAAACAACGGCAAAGAGACCTACTGAAACACAAACTCAACCAGAGAAAGCTCACTTCATTACTGAATTTTGTCACTATTTTTGAAAAATTACACTGTATGGATTTATCTTTTAAAAACTGGCCTTTTAAAAAAATCAAATTATCAAAACCTCATTATTGCAAGGGATTTAGACGACCAATTCACCTTATGTTTTGTTAGCACAGCAAAACTGAAAGAGTTGTTTCAAAGCCCAATACAGTCTATCTGAATTAGAGTTGAAATCACAACTTCAAAGTAATTGTTATCCAAGCCATTCTCAAAACACTAACCTGAAGAAATTTATCATTACAAAAGAAAGCTGCAAGAACTAGTGAAAAAAAAAAAAAAGCTCAGAAATGTATGGATGCACAAGGACTTACACTTCTGTTCCATGTCTCTCATCTCTTCTGGAGGAATTTTCATCTTATCAATATGTTCTTGCAAGACACTGGCCCATTTCTGTAAAGACTCCATAACAGTCCAAGGTCTAGACATATCTGCAACAAAGACTACAATGGTGTCTTGCAGGGATTCTGCAGAAACTGCAAACTTCAACAGCCCTTTATGGTATAAGTCTCCATCCAGAATCCAAACATTACAGCGAGTGTGATCTGAAAGGAAAAGGTACAGTCGTAACTCAACAGATGCCGACTTTTTGCTTTGCTAGTCTACCAGTAAACAGACAAGTACACTACTGTTAAATAGAAGACCAAAGCCCAGCTACAAACAGATCTTGCCTATTTCTTTTCAAGACAGGTGCATGTGCGAACGTCTACATTACTCGGCAGATGATTTCATTCAACAGGATTTTTTTCTTGGTTCAGAATCTTTTAATTTAAAAAAATAACTTCTGGTTTTTGGCTTTTACTAATGACAGCTGACACAACAGTTTTTAGATACCATACAACACTCCTGAATTTGAAATATGTATATTCCAAGTAAAACCAGAATACATGTGACACACACGTAACTCCCAAGTTCAAAAGGGGGTGGTTGTAGCTGAGTCCAGCAGGGAAGCCTTAGGTGTCCTTCAGACACATAAGCTGGTTTAACATACTAAAGTCATCTCACAACAGAAATAAGCTGCAAATAAGATACAAGCAATAAGTAGCTTACGTTTCTAGCACAGCAGGAGGAGCAGACACAGGATAAAATTACAACCTACCGAACTCTAAGGTTGTGCTACCTGCTCTTAATTCACACTGACTTAACATTGGCTCCTACTTGCAGGCTGCTTACTAAATGAGTACTGGACAAACAACTTGGTATTTTAGTTTTTGTGTTTCTCCCACCATAGTGTTTTGATAGCAACCGGACATTTTTTGCTGAAATGCAAGGCGGGGGGGGGCGGGGGGGTGGGGGAATCAGCTGGGACAGACAGCTAGCATGAGAAGTTCTACCCCAAACCTGAACTTTGGCAAGAACAGAAGAAACTGAAACTGGAGTATCATCCAGGTACTCTGAACAACTAATTCTGTCCAAATTAAAGAAAAAAAAAAAAAAAAAGAAAATAATTGCATTATCCTCAGAACTTCCTCCTAAAAAGAAACAACGCCATTTGTTTCTACCTTTAGACTCTTCCTAGCACCTCTTCCAAAGTATTCCTTATTCTACTACAGCTGCCCAGAGGGAACAGTGGGTCTCCACAGGTAGCACATTCAAGATACACGAATTCTGAAATACATGCATCAACAAACCAATCACTGCAGAGCCCAAATTTTCAAAACAGCTACTGAGCTTCATAATTACTCTGCCTCACTATATTTCCCTGCTCTGTGCTTCAAATCTTTTAACTTCACAAAACAAATCCAGTTGCTGTGGCTATTGTAACTTCACTCTAGGAAAAAATCCATCAGGATCAAAAACGCTGGCTCTAGAAAAGGGCAAAAACTTCATCAAGGAAGTTGGAAGGAGAAAAGAGTACAGAGGTACACACACTACCCTTCTCATCAGGTCTTAGATGAAATTACTGAACAGCCAAGTTACAGACAGATTACATCATGATGCTATACGAGGGCAGTCTTCATTTAGCATTTGTTATGCTCCTACTTAAGTACAGTTAGGTTGTCATAAGACATCCAAACATCAGTCATCATGCAAATGGGCCAACAGTTACACTTTTAACTTAAAGACCTTCCTCTTCCAACCGCACATCTCAGATCCATCCTTTGCAGTAAACAGTTACGATAATCGCTGTGTATCTAAGAAATGCACCTTTGCATATTCATTGTTTCCTCCCTCACTCCCCCCCACTTCAGGACACCGTCTCACTGATATCACACAGGATTCTTACACCACTGAATGTACAAACCTAAAGCTCTTGGAAGACCTCTAAGGACAGAAGGAAAGTCTGGTAAAAGTTTGAAAAAACAGAAAGGAAGCAAGTTTTAAAAACCTAACTTAAGTCTACCTATACTCTATGAAAGTTTACAACTCTCATCAGCATTTTCATAGATCCTGCTGTAGTGAGAGCTTTGATCACAGAAGTCTTTCACACCTCAGCAAGTAACAAAAATTGACAGGTATCTTAATTCACTGCTTCCAAGTCACTTTTTTAAGCCAGTATCTAAAGGTTACAAAGGTTTTGCTTCCTAAACACCTTTGCCCTACTTAAGGATTCGTTTCTGCTTAATATCTAGAATACACACTGGAACTAGAATAGAAGGGGAACGAGAATGCAGTTGGAACTATCACTCAAACAGAATCAATCTGCTAGGAAGACTGGAAGCCTCACATTAAAATGTACTTTAAAAGGAAGAAATAACATTGTATGAAATGAAAGGTTTTCCTCTCTTCTTACAGTAAAGAGGCATGGCTTGTGATTTACATTTGCTACACACTTAAAAATACAGTACTAGTTGTTCACAATTTGGCAAGGACTTGATGGCAAATTCAACGTTGTCAGCACCACATCAAGCTCCTCGTTAGTCATATGATGTGAATGTTAACCGCGCCTTTCACAGTGGCTATGACATGAGACACCAAAACAGAGCAAACAATCACCAGATCCTGTTGGAAAAGGAGGTGCTACTTATTAAAGACAATTACAATAGCTGCTAAAACTACATTTCTAAATCCTGTCAGTATTTCGTTATCCCTTTAGCCATGAAAAAGATTTTCCAGCTTTGATGAACTTTACTGCAGATGGTTGATTCTGTGAACTGCGACTACATCTCCTGCATTTATTCAAAAGGTATCAGTGGTAATTACAAGCTGTGAAGAGAAGCAAAATGAAAAAATAATATTCAAGAGAATTACTTTAAAGATGTTGACAAAAAGACAATTTTCCCATTAGAAACCAGAATACCAGCAGCACTCGGCTCAATCTGGAACAACCAGTTCAACTGGAATATGCATATGATATGACTGTGGCCAGTCCAAACCTGAGGCAAAACACCAAGACTACTTGGTTTTGTTACAGGTAACAACACAGCAACAGAATGGCTCTACTTCACTGGCACATTTGGCGCAGTCCAGACAACTGTATTGCATTTGTAATCTGAGGCAGTTCACCTGGAAGTTCTCCATGGTGTTCGTAATCGCCAGCTAACCCATACAGTACCGCTAGAAAACCAGTCGATGTAGTTTGTCTCACTGTCTTGCTGCACGCCCTCACTTAAACTCTGCCCCATCACTGCAAAAGACTCTGAAAGCTACTCTAGAAATACACATCCTTTAGAAAATTACGCAGAGCCTCTCTTCTCCCTCCTACGAGCAAAAATTCTCAGCTCTCAAAAGCAGGCTAACCAGCATCGACACAAAACCTCTGCTCAGCACAAAGAAAGGCAACAAATTAAAACTGGCCACACTCGCTGAGAAATTCCACCAACAGAGGACTCTCGGGCCTGAGCTCCTAGGTCCTGTAACATTCCCAGTTAGCTCTACAGCCAGTGCTGTAAGCGCTTTCATCCAGATGAACTACGGCGTCATGTACGCAGAAGCAGCCATATGCTCCAAGGATATTGTACCTGGGGCTAACGATCTAGGAGGATCCTCTCTCTCTCAGGACTGCTTCTCGGGCACCCCCAAACCTCTTCCTGAACAAACGCATTAGCCTAGGCAGAATTTGGGACAGTACCCTAGGAAGGAGATTTCTCAGGTAGAGATTCAGTAGCAGACTTACTCTAAGTTATCCTGAGACCTGGGGAGAAAAGTACTGCATGCTACATTGAACGACTGACACCTAACAGAACTGAACCTGCTCATTCCCAACGCGGTGGTGATGCGCATCTTGCCATCCAAGCTAGGCATCAGCCACTGCCAAGAAACAAGCAGGTAACAGTGAAAACCAAAAAGTTAGTGGGCACCTGTATTAGCCACGGGGGTCCTTCAAAAGAAAGGTGCTTTCTATGCATCTGTTTAACTTTCCTACCAAAAAAAGAACAATTTAATCACTGATCTAATCTTACGGGGAAAAGACAAAATTAACTGTAAACTAAGATATGTACCTAGCAATCTAGAGTAAGCCTACTTCAAATGTAGGAGGAGCCCCTTAAAGGAGGAAGGGGCGGGTGGGGGTGGGGATAAGAAGCAACACAGATTTTCTTTAAGATTTCCAAAGGAAGGTGGGAGGTAGATAATGACTCAGCACTATGACCAAAATATTTCTCCTGGACAGAATAAACTCTTCCGAAATGAAGAAGAAAAAGGCAAAGACAGGAAAGAAATCTTCTAGCACCTGGGAAAGAAGCTGAGAAGATCTCACTCCACTACACAGTTTCAGTTTCCAGTGTTGATTTGACACCCCAGGAAATCCTTGTGGTTTGCTAGTCTTGAATAGGTTGGAGTACAATAAAAAGCAGATACCCTCAAAAATGAGTATGTGATAGTCAGCTCCTGAATGCCTATCCTGAGTTTCTTTATGGTTTCCAAGAATTGTGGGTCAATTATAAAGGCTTTGTTCCCAAATCTGTATGGGAGCTTACACACATCTAAAGCACACACAGAGTTTAAAGAAACAAACTCAAACCTGTCCTAGAGAAGGAAGAGTATTATCTTTGCCTGCTGGGAGGTCCTGACCCACTTTGCTACTTATTTTGCTTGCTGATGACACTAATGAGACAGAAAGGGAAGAGGCATGTATTATTAGATCCTAACACATCCATTAGAGGGATGCATGAAGACCTGAATTCTCCAGCTGAGTCTGGCAGTCAAAAAGGTCTTTTTTTTCCAGCTAGTGCTGCCTGAGTTCTTATGACAGGCTTCTCCTAATCACCTTAAATACTTATAACTTCCAGATACTTAGGCATAGCCCCAAAATTTTTCCAAAGTAGGGACATACTTAAGGTATGATAGACAGCACCAGGAAAAATAGCACACCAAACATTTTTCTGCTTATAACACCACCTCCTTTGATGTTGCAAGAAGCCTGATGTCACAGGCTGTCTTAATCGCAGGAGTTTTTCCCCTCTTAAGTATTTATGCAGTACTAAAGATTGTGCATGGTGAGAAAGCACTTACATCAAGAACCTCAAGAAGCCAAGAATGGCTCAGCCCTTAAAACTACAGCACAAAAGATTTTTAGGAACTACAAGATTAGGCAGCCACTGAAGACACGGGCAACGTACCCATCCTTTCATTATGCCTAACTTAGTATCCAAAGACAGTTTACTGCCATGTGAGCCCAGAACCAATCTCCATAACAACGAGTCACATATGGTACTTAATCACTCGTGCAAGCCTTCAGTACATTTCCATTTCCAAAATACCATTATAGGATCTTCCTAGTTCATTTATTTTCAGGAATATGGATGAACCACCATCATTGCTTCCCTCTTCTGAACCAAAAACTCAAAAGGAAGTCATGAATAGGAAGACTGTCATTCCCCATTTTTGAAGACAGTAACTAATGCAAAGAGGTCCAGCAGTTTGCCCAAAAAGAGACAAGCAGAGGCAGATTTAGGAGCAAGGATAACGAACTCACTCTCCATCTCTTCCTGTCCTTAACCTTCCTAAAAATAGCATTCTGAGCATTAGATCTGCTTTTAAACAGCCTCTTGTCGTCATCCCCCTCCCACATAGCAGAGAAGAGCAATCAACAACAACAAACAGAAAGGGGCAAAGAGACAAGCTCCGATCTGACAAAAGGAAATACTAATTTGGACTTTAAGTTCTGTTCTTCACTCACTCAACTCTTAACAAAACATCCCAGTTATAGTTAACCAAAATTCCACACACAGCCCCCACCCCGAGAAATCCATACTGAAAATTAAATTCTCACAGATGTATCACTTACTTTCTATAGTTACCAAGCAGTCATACCAAATGACAATACATCTGCTGGTAGCTGGTAAGTCAACATCAGCAAATGTATCGACCCTAAAAGTAAATGGATCCCGAGACCTGCTCAAGTGTACTTTTTCTCCTCACACAGAGGTCAAGCTGCAAGAAGGGCAAGAGGGAGAATGTACACTGAATGTAAAATGCATTTCACTTTTAAGAAACTGATATAGCTTCTAAAACATACAGAACAGTGCTGGAACCAGTGACCTGGGTACAACCCAAAATACACTGATGAAACTACAGTTATTAAAAAAGCATGTCAGCTACTTAATTACAGAGATTACATATAAAATGAACTTACCATCCCTGTCTTCATCGTGAATATTTAGATACAAGTATTCCAGCCCTCTTCCTTTCTTGCCATGCTCTGCTCCCTGTATTTTAGCCATAAGTGTGGTTTTACCTGAACCATCATCACCTGCCAGCAAGTTTTTACAAGGAAAAAAAAAAAAAAAGACATTCAGAATTAATTTTAACTTCACAGAAAAGATTTTTCAAAACATGTTTAAGTAATCAGAAGTATCGTTGTACATTTTTGGATCATTTGTTGTCTTCTTTCAAGTATTGCAGCTAAATCCATTGGCTCATACCATGATAACAAGAATGAAGCACTTAAGTTATTCCCTGTTACATTCCATTTGCTTAAATATGTTATACGTCTAACAGTGTAAACCATAAAGAAAATAAATCTACCAGCCTGAAGACAGTAATACCGTAGATCACATCACATAACCTAATTTTAACAGAGGTGTCAGTTTGTTCACATCGTTGTTTTAAACGTGCTTTGTTTCTACAAAAAACTCCAACCACCCATATGCTTGCATATGTTACTTACCAAAAACAAGAATATTCTTGCCTGATGGCAATTTAGATCTTGACCGGGTAGAAACTTCACTGAGTATTGAGGACCTAGAAAAACAGGATCACTCTTGTTAGACTGACATATGCATGCACACACACAAAACACAACTCACACGTTGCCCATTTGACAGCACTGATGAGCTCAGCAGATCAGCACGGACCAATCCAGTTACGTTCATTCTATTTACAAACTAGATATGATGTTACAGTTGAAGATCCAAATCCATTTTAAAAGAACAAAAGTATCCCACCCTTTTGAGGAAAGCTTTCAGAATTTCTAAAACACGTACAGTAACATTTTTACTCCCTTATAGGAGGCCACATTACTGCAAAAAATTGCTTTCAACTGACGTCCACCTCTTCCCACAATGCATTACTGTATTTTATACGCAGCGTTTTCTGCCGTTATTAGTACGTTTAAGAACGTTACTCGCAGACAAGCAACGGTAAAACAAGAGCTGGAGCCTGGCCCGCAGAGCCGAACGTCTCGGCTCCGCACGCCTGCTCTCCCTCGCCCTCGCAGCGACGCTGGCCGTCTCCGGGCGGGTGCGGGGCTCCCCCCACGCCCGCCGGG